TCTTTCGAGTTTTAGGGTTACATTTATTAACTAACTAGGTATCAACCACTAGATGGAAATTCTGGAAGTTGAAATCCACAAGTTGCCAAGTTTGAAGACATTGGTCTAGATCAGGGGTCAGCAAGCCGCAGCTCTGAAGCCACATGTGGCTCTTTTATCCCTCTGCTGTGGCTCCCTCTTGTGGATTCTTCACTCCCTCTGCTGTGCAGAGAAGTGGCTGGGACTGAGTCTTTGGCACCTCATCTCTTGCTGAGTCTTGCAGGCAATGGAAAGGAGGATGGGCCCACAGCAGCCAGCTTTGGTTTTAAACCTCGCACAGGGGACTTTGGGTGCCTGGAGGATGCTTTTCAATCAATGTCGCCAGTGGCACTGATCCACTGGAGGAGTAAAGAAGCTCAGTGCAGTGGGAAAAGGGGGCTGGCCCTGCCAAACCTTGCATGCCCACCAGGGGGTCAGGGTCAGAGAAAGCCAGAGCATCCTTGCCAAAGACATTCACCCGCCAGCTGGTCAATCCACCTGCCCTTCGCAATGCTTTGACTAAGCCTGGCTGCTCGCTTGAGGAGGGTCTACCTGCTCATGCATACCCTTCCAGCTCCGCCAAAGCCGGCTAGAAGGTTACATGAGGAGGAGGAGGGTCATCTTCCTTCACTTCCTCATGAACTGCCGCGGTTCATGCTCGCTCTACAGCCAGCCCTTGCACAGCACAGTGAAAGAGAGAGAGAGAGAGAATGACACAAATACACACAGAGAAAGAGACAGTGGCACACAGAGAGAGACAGAGACACAGAGAGAAAAAAGTGAACAACACACTCGAGGCTGGGTGTAGCAAGAGGTGGCTGGGAGGGAAGGGGTGAGGCAAGGTCAGGTATGGCAAATAATTTAACAACCGGTTTTCTGCCCTAATGATCAGCTGGGTAGACATGGCTGAGGGGCCATGTGACCAGGTGAGAGTGAGTGACATTGAGTTTGCCATATTCACCCAGTCACACCAGTTGTTAAATTATTGGCTCCTAGCAGTGGTGGGATTCAACCAGTTCGTATCACTTCGGGAGAACTGGTTGTTAACTTTTTTAGCAGTTTGGTGAACTGATTGTTGGAAGAAATCATTAGGGCAGAGAAACAGCTGTTAAATTATTTGAATCCCACCACTGGCTCCCGGTGTTTTCTTTTCTGTGGGAAATGGTTCAAAATAGCACTTTAGATGTTTAAATTTGCAGACCCCTGGGCTAAACCTCTAGACCAAGAAGAGATTAATACCAAAAGAGGAAAAAACCCACATTTAATGTAAGTTTACAATTACAACCTGTACATTTAAGAATTTTTTCTGCAACTCAAAGTGGAACATTGAGATTTGGTGGCAACTTTAGTAGGAATATTGAAGGACAAATTTGTGGACTTAAAAGTAATGGCAACTGCTGCTATTCCTGTGCAAGCAAAAGCTGGCAAATTACAATAATATTTTAAAAGATATATTACTTCAGCCACAATCTTTACTGGGAAAACCTTCTGATATAAAAAGCCTTTAAACTCTTGCTGACAGTTGGAAGGAGAGGCAAGATTTGGATTACATGATAACTTCAGAAACTTATATGAGGCACATTTGTATGTATGTATTTTAGAAGATTTGAAAGAACATCCAAATGACTCTGGGAGGCTTACATATTTAAAAAGAGAAAAAGGCGATTAAATGAGGAATTGTCTAAAATAGAAGATCATATAGCCTATCATTTGACTTGGTTGTCTCACACAAAGGAACCAGCCAAAGGTTCCTTTGAAGGCAGGATTTGCAATAAATTATACAATTTCCCTTTTAGTGATTTGGAATACTTTTGATTTCATTATCTTTTTTAAAGATATTACCAGTAGATGGAATGGCTCAGTTTTATGAATACTTGAGTAAAGCTGCGCAAAAACTCAAAGCATCTATTTCCCCCTTAAATGCTGTACTGAACCTGAGGGGGAAAAGGTGATGGGCATCCATAGGAGATGAATGATTCATGCCTGGTGAAATCATTAAACAAATGCCACAACTTACATCTTATGTTAGTTATCACAAGGCATGCATGACTGACTTGAACAGTGGGCCCTAAAGAGCCAATTTGATCTAGTGGTTAAGACACAGACTAGAAAGTGGGAGATAGTGAATTGAATTCCTGCCTTAGCCATGAAAGCCAACTGGATGGCTTTGGGCCAGTCACTCTCTCAGCCCAACCCCAACTCACAGGATTGTTGTCCTGGGTAAAATAGGAGAAGAAAGGCGTATTAGGCATGTTATATAAGTATAATATAAGGAAACTAGGTGAAAATTGCCAACAGCAATTTGGAAAGGAGGATTAGAAAAGTCTGTTATTAAATATTATGGATGTTTAGCTAGAACAAGACACAAGGATTCAGTGTTATTGGAGGATTTTAGAAATATTAAATGAAATGCCAGTATGTGGTTANTCGCTCATTCATTGCGCGGTTTTGTCGGCACGGTTTTGTCACCGCGGTTTAGTCAGGCACGCTTTTGTCGTTCGCGCATTTGTGGTGGAACCGGCCAGGGGAACTCCCCTGAGAAAATGAACAGCAGCAGCCACCATAAATAGCAACCCCATATAACAGGTACTAGTCCCACAACATTTTGATCAAGCATGTCTATACTGTGAGCCACATAATAGTCACTTTTACTTGAACTTTGAAATGTCCCCTTTAAGTGATCTTTCCATTGTTTCCATCCCTGTAACATCAAAATGTCATTTCTGATAGTTTAGATCAGTAGCCCACAATCTTTTGGGCACCAAGGACCGGTTCCTTGGAGAGAGGTGTTTCCATGAACCGGAGGGGACATGGTTTGCATGCTGCCTACATCCTGCAGATGGGGCTTTGCGTGCAGCCCAGTTTCTGGCATGCTATGGACTGGTGCCAGCCCACGAACAGGGGGTTGGGAACCCCTAATGTAGATAATTTGAGAAAATGAAGAGGCACTCAACTTCTGTAAAATGACCTTGGAAACCTATTTCCTCTGCTATAATGGGAACATTTACTATACCGCTATAAAAGCAAATATAAAAAGCAGGCATTAAAACAACTGGAAGTGTTAGGCTATTTCCAGGCTAGTGATTTACAGCATCTTCTAACATCAGCTAGCATCCCACTGCTGATATCACAGTAATAAGGTCAGACTTTATATTGTCACAGTGATGACTGAATGATGCTAGAAGATGCTATAAATCATTAGTCTGGAATTGCCATAAATGTTGTAAAGCAGCATCCGATAGAACTACTGTAGTTGACTTTTTTATTGCTTTGATTACAAAATGAGTAAATAGCAAAGCCCAACTCATCCAGGGAAAGAAATACAATTTTATCATGTTTAACAAAATTTGTAAGAAACATTAAAAAAATCCTATATCTCTAATAATTAAGAGACAGGCATTATTCTCCTTTTGCCTTTAGCTAGATCAGGTATTTGTCTCTTATAGCAATAATACTTAGACTTACCAAACTCAGAAGGATGGAAGGCTGAATCAAACTTGAGACAGTCAAGATCAAACTGCTGAAAGTTGGCAGAATTTACCTGTAATACTGCATTCTAACCACCAGGGCTCAGTTATCTTTACATTTCTTTCCTTCTTATGGATAGTNGTAGTTCATCTGGTCAGTTCAAGCTTTGAAAAGTTCTGTTTGACTCTGTGCTAAGTTTGACCTTGCTCTGCATTTGGCAATTAGGTCTCTGGCAGGATTCCAAGGGAGATAAGGTGGGTGTTTATTCACATTCCCCTGAAAGACTGTGGCAACTGGAGCAAACATCTGTCGGAATCTTCACAGACTGTTTGTGAAGCCTTGGGGACTGCGAATGACCATAATTCACAGCCGTATAAATAAAAGAGGGTTTTCGGGACTAAGATTGTGATTTATGCTTTCTCAGGAAGCCTAGGTCAGAACAGAATGGTCACTGAATGAACTGTTGTAAATCACGAACTACATGTATTACAAAAACATTTGAATGCCCAGAAAGTATCAAAAGAAAATTCTAAGCATAATGTCAGGATTTTTTAAGTTAAAACATTAAAAAGAATCATTGTCTCTCATTGGTTCTAGGTATATTGTTCTTAGTGTTTTCACTGATTGGGATTTCAAATTGGTACACATTCTGAAATAGGCATAATTGAATCATTATTTAGCATTCCAGTATTATTGTTTTATACTAGTTCACACTTCTTTGGATTCTAACATAGTCAGTCAGTAACAGGAAAGCCATGTTACTTTGGGGATACTTTCATCATTATTACTATTGCTACTGATATTTAAGACTGAGAAGATCAACTAAATTCCCTAAGAATTCCCATGGAAGTAGGTGTGCATATGCTCTCACAATGTACCTTCTCAGTGCAGGAACAACAGTGAACAAAACCACTCCCTCCTTGGTCAAATATCTGCAAATATTTGAATCAGATATGCTGGGGGGGGGGGGAGAGACTACCCACTGAATAATGTTGGCCTTTCCCACTCGCCTAAAAAATACAGCCTGTTCCTCCATCTTGCCCCCTGTGCATGCTTGGCTTCTGCTTCTTCCTTCCCCGGGAAATTTCACATAATTTGTCTTTCTTTCATGTTTTAATACAATACACTAAAACCATCCAGCTTGAGATCAATCCTCCTCTGATTCCCCACCCACCCCCTTCTCAGTATATATGTTTCATGCATGTTTCATAGATAGCTCGTTGTGTTGAGGAGAAGACTGCAGTGGCACGTATGTTTCTGGGTCTGAAAACACTGGTCAACCAAAAAAAAAGGTCATGCATGTAAGAGAAAATAACCAACCCAGTCAAAGCATTTTTACTGAAGCTGTTGCTTTGTATGCATCCCATTTTCTTAAAGACGGCTTGCCTGTTTGGTAGGAATTTCCTAGTTTCCAGTTTCCAAGTGTCTGATTGGCTAGCAGGATCATCCATCTCTCAGATCCTTGAGGAAAATGTGAAATACTCCGAGAGGTTTGCTCCCTCTTGCACTAGGAGCTGCTGCCTCGATGGCTAGCTGCTTTATCTGCATATTCACCCAAAGCCTCGTGCATCAGTTTTCTCCCATTGCTCCGGTGAGCTCCGACGATCTCCGCCTTCTGGTTCAGGCTTCACTCTCTCCTTCCCCTTCCCTTTTGTCCCCTCCTGCCTTTTCTGCAACCTGATTCCTGGCAATTTTTTGACACCTGAAGGAAAAGCTTGGGAGGCGTGAAGCCTTGCAAGTAGTAATGTTAAGGGAGGGAGTAAAAAAGAAGAAAGTCTGGGAAGGCATGAGGTACAGGATGACTTATTACAAATAGCTTCTGCTGATTTTGCATGGACTGTGGAGCAAAAGGAACTGCGTTTGGGGGAAAACGTTTTTGCTCTGGTAAGTGGAATCACAACCTGCTTGATTTGATCCTATATCTATCCACTCTCTGGCATATTGTTCTTGAATAGGTGCTTTATTAATCTTACACTCATCATGAATATATCTTGCATTTACTTACAACCACAGTTACTAGGGTTTCATTTATCTCTAGCATTCTCTAATGAATGTATGTCTCAATAAGCATATTCTAAATATGTTCCTATAGGTTGAGATATAAATATTATTGTTTTAATGGAGCACCATCATGTTTGCATTTAATTGCTTTCATATGCCTTGACTCATTTAGACAAGCACCTTATTTTTATATATGAATTATTAGACTGGGAAATGAAAAATGAACTGTTCAAATAATTATGTACATATTTTGCCTTGTCCAGCCTCAAAGATCCAGATATGGAAAGCAATAAGTTTAATTGTGAGTTGATACTTATTTAAAACACACACATGGGTAGGTTACCATTCATTATGTACAGAAAAGGCATATGCAAAAAAAAACCTGATGTATTTGATGCTGTATTTTATATCATCACTTCATTTAAGCATCAGTTCTGCAGTGTAACATCCACCTTGTAGGGTTGTCATGGAGATGGTACAAAGAAGATTTATCTGAACCATCAAAATGTGATGCAGTCTTGTTTTAACTTACTCCTTTTCTCCACGTTTTGCTTTTTGTGTGTTAGAAATGTGTTACTTTTATTTTAGAAAGAAACAAATCAGTATTTCAGGATATAATGGAAATTATCTCACTTTAATCTGGCTTCTTTGCCAAGACACCCTGGTTATAGCTGCTGCATTAGTGTTAGTGCCTGTGTCCACTTTCATTAAACTGGAGATGAAGATGAAGCAGGGACCAATATAATTTAATCTCTTAATCATTTTAAGAGATGCATTGAAAAACAATCCTGCAGAGAGTGGGGTTTTTTTTTTGTAAGTAAAGAAATGGGAGATTTGACTTGTTTTATTAGGAGTTAATGGCATTTCCCTCCCCTTCTTAATTTCAACCATGCAATATAGTCTGGGTTTTTCAGTTTTTTAGCCAGAGTGAGGGGAATATTTTACATTTGACAAAAAAGGGAAGATGTCAGCTCTTGAAGAAAAGAAATAATGGTAAAATGCTTCCTCGCAAGACACACTCCTGTGCTCCTGTGACAAACGTACATATGTATCTCCCATAATGTGCTCAGTTTTACAATGCAGGCATGCTTAATTCTGTTGTAGCTGGATTCTCTTTTATTTGGGGTGTGGGATGAGTTTTACCCATTATTTAATTTAACTTTATTCTATGCCCATACTGAACATGTATTTGGAGTCCTATCTGAAATGCGGTGAGGAAGGCATCTTTGATTTCTCTGCAAATAATTTCACCCTTTGCCATTTAATATACAGTAATATGTCAGATAAAAATTTATGTTGGAAAGAGCATGTTGATATGACAAATATCTCCAAGCTAGCAAAATTTCATCACCAGGATCTGCACTTTTGTCTGTTTTGTGACAAATCCATGTAGTTTCATGTTCACATGGTATATCAAGATGTACAGAACTGTAATTGGTAGTAACCATCCCTTATCAACTTTCCATAGATACATCTTAGCCTGTTCACTTTGATTCTGCAGATTGGATTGTTATAAGAAGAGAAGCTAACCATATCTACACTTGATCTTTACTCCTCTGATAGAATTAAGAAGGCTGAATTGGAACTCTATACCTGCAGAACAGAAACTATTCATGCTTTGTTAGGAAAAAATGAGGCTTTCAACTGAACTGAAAATGGCAGTTACACATTTTTCAAAGACAAAGGAAAATTATTCCCCTTCTGCTTCCAATGTAAACAGCTTTCACTGAGCTTTGAAAGCATGATGCATTGGCTCAGTTTCAAACCTTCTGAATGAAATGATCTGGGATCTCTTTCAGTCACAAGGAAATGAGAATCCCAACAATTGGATTCATTTAGATTTTTCTGGAGATGGAAACTGAGCTTGGGTAGGCAACCTGTAGCTCCACAATGGCACCTGCCTCCTGAACCCCTTTTACAATTCCATGGAATCTGTAGCTGGATTTAGTGGCAGTTTCCAAACATGTGGGAAGTATGCAGAAACTGCAGCATAAGCCCTAAAACAGGTTTAATCAAGTTTTTAACAGCAATGATCGCACACCGACACACCCCTCAAAAAAGAAAAGTGTTTGTTTGCATGTGCCATGTTCGGAGTTCAACCATGAAGTTGATTAAGTGGCTTTGTGCTGTCATAATTCTTTATTTTCTATTCAATTTCACTATACTCTTCTGATGAAGAACTGAACAATCCATGTCTCCCTAAGGAACCTGGAGGCAGATACTATATAAATGATAAGTAGTTTAATTTCAGGTGAAGTTCGAGTCCTTTATTGGTTGTAACATTATGTAGTGTCAGGCTTTTATTTTTAACTCTGACTATTGCTGGTAATAATAATGTTTGAATTAACAATTTCAGAATGCTGTCCATAGAATTTGAAATAAATATTTTTCAAACAGAATATTCTGGGGAAAACATATATTTCAGCTTTCCGCAAAGAAGTGCTAGTTTCCAACATTCTTGGTCAGCTTGATGGTACTTGTCAGGATCCAAGAGCCTTGTTCTTGAGCCATCCCATTACTCCGCTTCTTGTTGGCCAAGGGAAAAGAAAGAATGAGGTGTTCTTTGACACCTCATTCTTGAAGCTGGACATAGTATAGGTGCCTGATTTGCTTTCCTCCCATTCAACCTCCTCCCCGGGTCTGTCCTATGATTCAGAAACTTACCATCAACCAAGAAGGGAAAACCATCTGGTCGTTGTTCATTTCAGATATTGAGGGGGGAGAAAAGCATGGGACCCAGAGATCAACGGGTTGAGTTGAGTTGAGTTATTTGATTTCTATGCCGCCCAATCCCGAAGGACTCCGGGCGGCTTACAGAATAAAAAGAAATTAAAAAGAAAAAAGACTTAAAAACAATAGGACACACGAAGTTAAAAAGAAAGACAACAAACACCCAATCAGAAGGCCTGCCGGAAAAGCCAGGTTTTAATGGCTTTGCGAAAGGCCATGAAAGTGGGGAGGGCCCGGATCTCCGGGGGCAGCTCATTCCATATGGCCGGAGCGGCAACAGAGAAGGGTTGAACTTCAAACGAAGACAATCATTATAAGTAAATTCTAATTGCAACTTTTGGCCAGCTGGTGAAATGCTTATTTAAAAACAAAACAAAACACAGGAATAATTTTTGTATGGCAACATTTCTCTAGTTAAGAACCAATTTTATTTTTCATCACCCTCATTGCCATTGTCACTTGATTTTCCTTCCTTAGTTTGCTTTTCTAACTTTTGATTGCTCTCCTTTCCAATTACCTTCCATTTTCTATTTTAGTAACAGTTATAACAACATAGTCACAGTATGTTTGTTTTATTTTGTTTTTGCTTAATCCTCTTCTGTTTATCCCTCTGCAAATCACTCTACTTATTAATTTTTAAAACTATGTAATATTGTTTTCTTCCTGATTTTGTCCTTTTAAGCGATATTCTTGCCTGAAGCCAAGGCCCACTAGACTTTCTGAAACTTCTCTAGAGAAAATCTTTAAAGTTATAATTCTCAATGCTCAAAAAGTTTCTTCAAAGGATTCAGAACTAAAAAGGTTGGGCCATCCATGGGGTAGGGAAATTGGACCAATATGTAAAAAGCTAAATATATTTGGATCTGATAAGTACTTGAAAGGGACACTACTAGCAAATCCAAAGGTTATATGTTATACTGTAAAATTGAAAAATTATCCCTGAGAATGATAATGCCAAATATTCTCTCCACACACTCACAAACACCATTGCAAAGAAAACTGCATGGATGGAGATTTGTTCTATTCAATGGAAATATATTACTGTCCTGATAAATGAACATTATTTAAAACACTGTCATAAGATTATGCATTTACCATTACCATTACATGTAAGAACTATAATGATAGATAACTGCAAACTCCTGCAGAGTATGTCTATAGCAAAATTAAAGACTGTAAATGGATTCAGGCTAGAAAGTTCAGGCTAGAATCAGAACAGAGCTGGAAAGAACCTTGGAGGTCTTCTAGTCCACCTCCCTGCTCAAGCAGGAGATCCTATACCATTTCAGACAAGTGGCTGTCCAGTCTCTTAAAAACTTCCAATGATGAAGCACCCACAACTTCTGAAGGCAATCTGTTCCACTGGTTATTTGTCCTCATTGTTAGGAAGTTTCTCCTTAATTGTAGATTGCTTCTCTCCTTGATTAGTTTCTATCCATTGTTTCTTGACCTGCCCTCTGATACTTTGGTAAATAAGTTGATCCCCTCCTCTTAATGGTAGCCTCTCAAATTCTGGAATACTGCTATCATGTCCCCCCCCTCCCCAGTCCTCTTCTCTAGACTAGCAAACTCAAATCCTGCAACTGTTCTTGATATGTTTTTTTTTCATATGTTTTAGTCCTCTGTCCTAATATCCAGGTTTGCATGGTCATATAAGAAATGGAAAAGAGTAAAGATTCAGTTCTACTTCCTTTCTCCCACTTTTCCTGACAACCATTCCCTGCCAGAAAAAAGGAGGTGGTAAAACTCTATATATAGGATTTTAATTGCTCCATGTATAGCATGTTAAATTAGAAAAGTGCAGCAGAAAACAGTAAATATTGAATTATTTTAAAAAATTAGCTTTATTTGACCTCTATTGATTTGGAAATGGGATATGGTTCGCTGTTAGTTAAAAAAAGATGTGCAAAGGCAATTCTTCTGTCTGATTGGCCCTCCTACCAAAGATCACGACTGCCAGAAGTGTGCTTGGGATATTTTTTATTGCTTTTCTGCAGAGCTGCGAAGATGGTATTGTGTGAATGAGCATTTAAAGTATGATTTTTAGTATAAGTATTCCCTGGTTAATGATGCCTTGTTTAGAAACCTTTGAAAGTTACAACGGAGCTGAAAAAATAACTTTACAACCAGTCCTCGAACTTACAACCATTGAA